TTTTTCAGAGCTAATCTTCAACTTATATTAACCAAAATGGAGAGGAAATATTCTCCTTTAACTGGAGTGCTCAAAGTTTATCACTCTTGCCAAAAAATTAGAGTCAAAATGAGATAAAAGTGAGTTTTTTTGGTATGATCTGCTAAAATTCTTCAAAAGATCTTTTACAAATAGTTGCCAAGGCACTACACATTCAACTAATAGTACCATTTTCAGATAATGACGTTGTGTAAAATATTTGTCTCTAAAATAAACTAATTGGGGTGTGCGATAGACTTACCTCCACGTGGTGCACCCTGGGCAACGTATACTCATACGACAAAAAGTCTATTAACCGGCAGTTGACTCCCGCCTCCAAACTACCATGACCCCATTATATGTCATATTCGACTACTTTCACAGTACTCACCTCACCTTTTTTTACCTTCGTCTTTGAAGCACTTTTCTGTTCCCCCTCCCTCTCGACTTATTTTCCACTTTGATGTTCCTTCCCCTCTGTGAAGCCTGAAGTCAACTAAAGGGCTAATGATAACTATCAAAACGCCTGCCATTTGATATAAATAAATAAATTTATCGACCCTCCATTATGAATGCACTATTCGAGCCAAAGAAATATCAGAACCATCTGGAGTCAAAATTCCGGATGAGATTGCATCTTTAGTGACGGAAACAACCTTTCGGTTCTGTCAACTGCTGTCCACAGATATCGAGTCTTTTGCCCGTCATGCAAAGCGTTCAACGGTCAACATGGATGATGTTTTATTATTTACTCGTCGCAAGCCACTGTTGAATGCCTTCTTGGAGGAAAAATCAGCTGAATTTGATGCAGTAGCCGATGCCAAAGAATCCAATTCTGAATTTCAACCAGCAAAACGAAATAAGTAGACCACCTTAATTAAATAAATAAATAAATAAAATAAACTAATTTTGTGCATGTATGCACAAAAGCAAGGATGGAATTTTTCTTAATCATGATATTGTTGTTGTTGTTGAGGGATGGTGATTTTTAAGTTCTCATAGTTAAATTTAGGCAAGAAAGTACAAATTTGAATTCTTGGTGTGTAAAAAAACATTGAAAAAATGCCGGAGATCCGGTGGTAACACATTGAAGCTGCGACAATCAACTACCTCTCAAAAACTAGAAAGTATTTCATAATTGTTGGTAAGGCAACTTCCTAGGCCGAGATAGAAAGTTAATTATCCGATTAAAAATTAAAAATCAATTTTAAAATTAATTTTTTTTTCACTTGAGAGTAGATGAGGAATACCTAGGGGGATATTTCAAAAAAATGAAAAAATAGGCTATTGACTACACAGGCCTTTTGTGTTAGCGAATTTCATGAAGGACTGGAGATAACTGCCAAAATAAAATAGGCAATATTGCTCTAAAAGGGCCAATTAAATGTACTGTTAGTGGGAATATTAACTCTACTCTAAAGTACAAAATGTGCAGTGTCCAGTTCTTTTAGCTTGAGAAAGGGATTTAAAGGGATGCGAGTTCGTCTAAGGGGGGGGGGTGTCATTGTTACTGGAAGCCGTTTGAATGTTAGAATGACCTTGAGTCAATTGCTCTTTCTCTAAGTGTCAACTAGACACAAAGAAAAGGAAACGCCGCCGATATGAAATGGCGACGACTTCACCCAGTGGGAGTGCATTTTCAGGTATGCTCGGGGAATCCAGCGAGTTAGAAGGGAGGTTTGCGAGTTTCCCACGTCTGGAACAAAAATATTCATTTGGCCTCCTAGTACCTCCACAAGCAGTCCACAGAGCAGTTTCTTCAAATTGTCTGCAGACAGCTTTTTTGCGTGACTCTCATTATACACTATTGGAAAATTAAACATGAAATGACAGGATACTCGTCGGTTCCTTCCCCCCGCCTCCCGGTACTCCTCAGTTGGAGTTTGGCTCTTCCTTGTGTTCAAATGAGTTGGAAAACTTTAAATTATTTCTGATTTTTCATATTCCAGTTAAAATATCACAGACTGACACGCGGCTTACCCCTACAACGCTTCCAATTTCCTTGTTCAAGTTGCTTTTTTACAATAATTGGTGCATTGTGACTTGAGAAAAAAAATTTGTTTTCAAGTAAGCATCACTCACTTTGGATCCAACCCTATGCTCCTGCAAAAAATCTCAAACCAATAAATAATTCAAAGATATCTCGATCGGATTATTTTGACACGGCCATCTGATTCCAACTTGATGCTCTGAAGCGCGCGAGAAGTGATACATTCGATAGCACTTTTAGCGAGTGAATAAAAATGAACCACAAATAAGGAAATTCAACGTACACGAGGATCGCTAATCAATTTGAGGCTATAATGCCTCAAAGCTAAAATAAAAGCAGAAAAAAAGGTATATATATATATATATATATATTGTCGAATGAACTATCACGAAACCTTCTTTTTAGTTTATTAACGGAAACTATTAAACATTAAGCAAGTAAATTGTAGGTATTCGTGAGCGCTCAAGGTATATGACACCCTTGTGAAATTCATGAAGATCAATGATTACTCTTAAACTTCTTAATAATAAGCTAATAACACTCAGAAACATAAAAAAGTTTATGTTAAAAATGACACGACTGACGATACCAATTTTTATAAATCTTCCATTTACTGTCCTCCTTTTGATCATGAATATCAGCTAAGAGAATTAAATTACTTGAAATATTTAAAAGTTCACTATTCCATAATAATTTGGGGTAGCTGGAATTTAGGTTATCTTTAAATAAACCAAAGCCAAGAACAAAAGACTGTCCTACAGTTAAAATAAAGGGACATTGTTTAAATGAAGTGGCGGGCATATAAGTGCGCAAAATGAATGCTATATGAATGAAGTCGTGTGGAGTTAAGAGACTCACGTGAGCAGATTCCGCTCCCATCGTTGGCCAAAGTTTGCCAGACGTAGAGTGGGTGATTGCAGACACATCGCTTGCTAGCGATGGAGGCCTCTGAGGTTGAATTGGGAGGACACGGTCGACAGAATCCTGTCGCGTGAAGAGATTTGTACGTTCCCATTGGACAACCTATACATCAGTTAAAACAGATCCATAAAAATCGCCAAACTGCAGAAGTTTATGGAAAGTCTGGGAACCCTAAACGAAAGACGATTTAACAAAATTTTTTATACACAGTTAAAGCCACTAACATTAGCAATTTTATGCGGTGAACATGCCGAAAGTGATGTAACTGCAAAATAACTGAAGTTCTCCACCCGTAAGTGCGTGAAAATAACAAAAAAATAATACTACTATGATTTTCACTAAGGAGTGTGTTAGACTTACCTCCATGTTGTGCACTCTGGGTAACGTACACTCATTTGGCAAAAAAGTCTCTAAACCGGCAGTTGACTTCTCACTTCCAACAACCATCACCCCCCCACTGTATGTCATATTCGACCCCTTCCACAGTACTCATCTTACCTTTTTCTGCCTTTGTGTCTAACTGTCTCTTTTACTTCTGTGAATCATTATTCTGGCCCTCCTCTCGACTTTTGGTCACTTTGATGTTCTTCCTCCCTCGATGAAACCCGAAGTCAACTAAAGGGCTAATGATAGCTATCAAAACGTCTACCATTTGATATGAATAAATTATCTTTTTAGTCAATAATAATTTACCAATTTTAAAAGTTTAAGAGTTGATTGTTCGTAGCTTTAGCCTCCCTGATTCTAAATCAATAACCCACAAGTTTTATTTCTAATCAACCCCCCCCCCCGTGTGAATAAAAGCGACATTGCAACTATGATGGTCACTGTAAGTGTACGAAAATGGAGGCAATTGGGAAAACATGCAACAGACCATTCCAGNTCACAAAGTCCCAGGCCTGCAGCAACAGAGGTAAAAGCTCTTTAATCATAGTTCAGTTCATAAGTTTGTATATTTGCAACATGGAGAACATCTTAAGAGTATCTAAGTATCCTATATTTCTTTCGAGTCATCTGATTTGTCAAATTTAAATGGCGCCAAAACTGGAAATGCAAAAAAATTTGAATTTCGCCCCAAAGCTCTAGACACCAATTATTCTGAAAAGCATGAAACCTAGGCGACAACCTTAGCCTTGAATGTTATTTTATTCATTTGAAAAATATTTATTTATTTATTTCAAATGGCAGGCGTTTTGGTAGCTATCATAAGCTCTTTAGTTGGCTTCGGGCTTCACAGAGAGGTGGAGGAACATCAAAGTGAGAAAAATTAGAGAGAAGGCACAGAAGAGTGCTTTACAGATGGAAAAGAGACAGACAGACACAAAGGTATGGAAAAGGGTAAGATGAGTACTGTGAAAGTGGTGTAAATGGTAGTTTGAAGTGAGAAGTCAACTGCCGGTTTATAGACTTTTTTGCCGCATGAGTATACGTTGCCCAGGGTGCACCACGTGGAGGTAAGTCAATCGTACACCCCCATTTGAAAAATATAAATAGAGAGATATTTACACAGATACTTTCTACAGTTACTAGCAACTAGTGAGGGAAAATCATTAATTATCATTGCATTTTCAACAGTACAAAGGCCCATTTTACGAGGGACTCGACCTTAGAAATCGACAAAATGTATTACTGCTGGTAGGTGGCAGATTGAGAATCACAGCATTAATAATGATAGAGCTGACTGTTTTGTGACCAATAAGCCGTTTCCTTAATCAGATTAAGATAACGCGAGGAAAATCGATAAAAGACACGAGGAGTTCAGAAAAAAATAGATAAAATCAATGCACAATCGCAATCAGGTCATAAAAAGTCAATGAATCTCATCACCTTCCAGGAAAATAAAAAAGACAGGTGAATAATTTTCCCTTTCAGAAAATTTGCAGTTAGTCAGTTAGAGGTAACGGTAAAAGAGAGGGAGAGTACGGAGAGGAGAATCGAGAAAGAGTTAGGCGTTGGTGTCTCCTTGTTGTTTACTTCATCAAATCTATTGTCTCGTATAGAGTAACAGCCTTTTGTCTGTTGTCCTTTCTCTCACTCTCTCTCTCTCTCTCTCTCTCTCTTTCTCCTCTTCGTTACACACATCACCGGTGGAATAGACGCACAAATATGGGTGTTTCTATTTTGCGTCTCTCTCTCTCTCTTGTTGTGTAGCCATGGCCATACTATACCACATACCCACTTCTACTAAGGTGTGTGTATATTGACCTTGACGATCTGTTCTGTCCGAATGCTGGGTTGAACTGGATTCCGGACTTTTAGAGAGCGCATTTCTGGACGAGAAAGTTGTCCCTCCTAATACTGCACACACACATAGGCCTTGAATTTCTCTCAGCTCTCTTTACTACTAGTGGACATCCATCGTCTTTGGACTCATAAATAAACAACGTAAACAATTTCGTGTACTTATAAAACAAAAGGTCTTTCAGGTGCAGACAGGAATCATTACTCATCGGTCAACTAGTTGTATACGCATCAAGCTGTAGAAGGAAAGAAAGAACCGAAAACCTTTTTTTGCGGAAAATCCACACATTCGACCACTTTACGGAACTTGGTTTTCATATCTTTGTATTCGGCGTATGTAACAGGAGGGGAATAACTCAACAGCATTGCAATATGGAGGCATGAAATCACAAAAAAACATGTGAATTAATTTATATTCTTTAATTCAAGGATGGAATAGTAAAGTTATTCTCAATGCAAGAGACCATGCGTTTCGAAAAAGGCTTTTCTCTCTCCTCACACACACACACGATTCAAGCCACCTACTGCTACTGTATTTAAAATCTTGCAAATTCAAAGAGTCAATGATTTCACCTGAAAAAAGGCGGATTTTTTTTTCCAACAGGGGAGGCCAAAAAAGGTGGCAAAAAATACCAGAGGTAAAAGGAAGTTTGCGCATTTTTTGGTACCTTTATGCATAAAAGTAGTATGTTTGAAGGGCTGAGGAAGGAATGGAGACTAGCAAATCAGCGCGCGCGATATAAAAAGCGCCAGTTGTGAACGCCAATTCCCCCCCCCCCACCCACCCCCACTCATATTAACTTTGGGGGGGGGGGAGGAGGTGACGATAGACTTACCTCTGCGTGGTGCACCCTGGGCAAACGTATACTAATCCGACGAAAAAATCTGTAAATAAGCAGTTCACTTCAAACTACCATGACTCCACTGTATGTCATATTCGATTACTGCCATAGTACTCGGCTCAACTATTTTTCCACCTTTGTGTCTGTCTCTTTTACATCTTTGAAACACTCTTCTGTTCCCCCTCCCCCCTCGAATTTTTTTTACTTTGATGTTCCTCCACCCCTCTGTGAAGCCTTAAGTCAACTAAAGGGTTAATGATAACTACCAAAACACCTGCCATTTGATATAAATAAATAAACAAGTATTTATTTCAAATGGCAGTTCGATGACCCATTCACAACTTTGAGAAGTAGACTGAAAATGTCTGCTTTAGCAGACGTGCGTATTCACTATTACGTCACTGACAAAATAAAGTTGAAAATACTANAAGTTCTCCACCCGTAAGTGCGTGAAAATAACAAAAAAATAATACTACTATGATTTTCACTAAGGAGTGTGTTAGACTTACCTCCATGTTGTGCACTCTGGGTAACGTACACTCATTTGGCAAAAAAGTCTCTAAACCGGCAGTTGACTTCTCACTTCCAACAACCATCACCCCCCCACTGTATGTCATATTCGACCCCTTCCACAGTACTCATCTTACCTTTTTCTGCCTTTGTGTCTAACTGTCTCTTTTACTTCTGTGAATCATTATTCTGGCCCTCCTCTCGACTTTTGGTCACTTTGATGTTCTTCCTCCCTCGATGAAACCCGAAGTCAACTAAAGGGCTAATGATAGCTATCAAAACGTCTACCATTTGATATGAATAAATTATCTTTTTAGTCAATAATAATTTACCAATTTTAAAAGTTTAAGAGTTGATTGTTCGTAGCTTTAGCCTCCCTGATTCTAAATCAATAACCCACAAGTTTTATTTCTAATCAACCCCCCCCCCCGTGTGAATAAAAGCGACATTGCAACTATGATGGTCACTGTAAGTGTACGAAAATGGAGGCAATTGGGAAAACATGCAACAGACCATTCCAGACGACTTCTAGACGTAGACGTCGAGCCGGTTGAGTGTGAAAGATGGTGCCCAATAACTTCGCCTGCCCACAATGATGCTTCGGCCTGCTACCCCACCTGTGTTTACCTAACCGGAATTCCTATGAATCACACACTATTAAGCCAATGCACTTAGTCATCGCAAACGGTTTTCATGGGTTCATGATTTAATCCTCCAATGACCTTTACCTGATTTCACAGTTTCATTCAACCAATCTTTAAAATAATGATTTTAAAAAATGCTCTTAGGAAGTTCAGCAGACTAATTTCTTTTGAACTCCTGAATTCCTCTTCTTTCACCCACTGGAGTATCGAGTATGCTAGTTTCTCACACTCAAGTCCACCTTCTTTAAGTCGGAGTAGGTGTGGCTTAGATTGGGAACAACTTAAAAATCGCTAAATGTGTATAATTTTCAAAAGAAGTTTACCAATCTCACTAAACCCATTTTACCGGAATTATATTCCCTTACAACAATATATTTAATGAATTTTTGTCTTTCTCAAAGCATGCTCACACATGTCATTTGTTTACTCAGCTCAGAACCAAAATTATTTTGGGGGCAATGCGTTAGGTGCGTCCAGTGTGATATCATCTCCCTTAAACGCAAAAAACAAATGTTTTTACCTGTCCCTTCCTTCGAAGATTAAATTCGCAAGTTATTAAGAGGTTAGAATAATTTCAACGTTTTCGTTAAGTTGTTTGATTATAAAGCCATTTGTCACCGGATATTGAAAATCATATGGTGAACGACCTTAATTTGATATTTAGCTTTACACGGGGTGTACGATAGACTTATCTCCACATGGGGTACCATGGGCAACGTATACTCATACGGCACAAAAGTCTACTAACCGGCAGTTGACTTCTAACTTCAAACTACCATCACCCTTCTGTATGTCACATTCGAATACTTCTACAAGTACTCAGCTCACCTTTGTGTCTGCCTCTTTTACATCTTTGAAACACTCTTCTGTTCCCCCTCCCCCTCTCGACACTTTTCACTTTGATGTTCCTCCTCCTCTCTGTGAAGCTCGTAGTCAACTAAAGGGCTAATGATAACTATCAAAACACCCGCCATTTAATATAAATGAATAACTATTTAGCTTTACATTTTTATTTCGTAAAGCTTGAGGCAATGATTTAGGTAAAAATGAATTTATTGCGAAATACTTCCTACCGTTTTGGACGGGTAATTTGAGTTGACCAAGAAATTAACAATTGAGTCACTGTGACAAATTGGAAAGTGGACTATTGACGACTGGAAACGCCAATTTGTGCTTTTTATTTGGAACAAAGCAAATAGCACTTCAATTTGAATTGATTCCGAAGTTAAACCCAAAATTTCATAAAATTTGTGAAGCAACACCGTCCACATAATTCCAAGTGTAAAGCATAAGTATGAACTCCCCATAATTGAACGTAATTTTATCCTTCTTTATGCATATTTGAAGTAGTGATATTTTTAACAGTTTTGCTTCACCTATGAATCCAAATTATTAATTAACTATTAAAACAAATTTGATTATCCACATTTGTTAATGGGCCATGACTACATTGCTGCAAATGGGTGTTTTTTAGGATCTCCCTTTCTAAGAAATTAACTCTGCGCCAACTTTGTGGGTGGCAATTCAAATGTCATGCTAGGATCAAACTGTCTGCCCTCTACAAACACCCATCCATCGATCTAATCATGAACCCCCAATCAGCACCTCCGCCAATTCTGACTGCAAATTGTTTAATTAATGAAATACATAATTTACTTGGTGGAATAAAAAGGATACACCACCCGGAAAACTTAATAACTTAGTGTAGATGTCTATAAAAGTTCCACCAAATAAGTTACAATTCAAAAGAAGTTATTTTCAAATCTAATGAAAAGCTCTCGACAGATCAACTGTCAAATTCTGCATAATCGTTACAGACATTATTTAGCTGCTCGGGATTAAATGGATTTTCTTGAAATCGCGTCAAAACTGTTTTGTAGGATTTTAACATTGTAAATCAATAATCCTACTGCAAAATTACTTTTTTGATCTGTTTCATCCACATTTTATCCTGTTCACAAGAAAGCATCTCATTTTCGTCAGATAAAAATTTTATGTTTTGGCAAAGATTGCAATGAAGACAGAAAAATTCCAAATTTCAACACATAATACTATTAATTTATCTGGCATTTTCATGCAATATTTGCAACCCAGTGAGCACAAAGTGATTATCGATTATTAATAAAGCTTTGACGATATTTAAGACTACGCACTGTCTCACGATGACTCACCGCATTCAATACGGATTTGTACACTTGAAAAGATTAAAATTTCATGTTTTCTATACTTTCGGAATATTTTCCCCAGAATGAAAAAAATTCTTTTCAGTGGCTTTAATTTGGTGATTTTTGATGTTTTGTGATATAAATCACTAAGTGAATTTAATTTAAAAGGAAATCTTTAAGCACTCCTAGAATACGCAAAGATATGGGAGATTAAGTAGTAAATCTGCTGCAGAATTAGACCAACCCTTGAGAAATGGATGCTCTTAGCTTGATTTATGTCCAGTCTTAATCCCCCTATTTTAGACAAGTCAAGTAATTAAAGCATCAGATATATAAATAATTGAGAAGATAACGATATTCATGTTCCCTCTTCAAATCCTTATTACAATCGAAAACCTCGTAGAATTCTCCCTAATCACCCTGGCGAAATACTCAACATTAGTAGGATTCCTTTATTTTACCTAATAGAACTTGTGTCAGTCAAGTTGAAGCAGTCACGATTTTCCCATTTTATCCCATTAGAGCCTCTTTTAGCTTCCAATAAAGTGGAGAGCAATTTAGACAAAGAAGTTCTTCAGTGTTCCGCTTCAATTTATGGTGATGTTGTTTCAGGGCGCATTATACCACCCATAAAGCCAAACGCCCCCCCCCCTCCCACCCACCCCCACCCCACCCTCGAGATTCCACAATGTATACAAAGGCACGAAAAGATTAATACCTTGAGTTTAATGCCTTCTGGAAGGAAGTGAAACCTTGTGTGTGTTCTAAGGGAGTGGAAGTAATTCCAAATGATTTAACAGACTGTGAACTTAATATACAGCAGCTACATCATTTGGTCATGTTTCACTCAAAACTTCGTAGAAATAGAACGATTTTTGTGACAGAAAAGCAAAGAATCAGGCATTCAAGTGGGGACGCATTTGAATAAGTAAAGTGGATCTTAATTTAAAGATGGAATCATCATGCATGCCAATCATATCCGAGGTCATGAAATCGCTATCCATAGGTCAATATCCAGTAAGTATAAGCTAAAACAAATCAACTCGCTAGACGGTAGCAAAAGACTTCCAATTAGAATAGGTCCTGGAAGGCTTCGATGAGAACAGTCAAAACAAAAATAATTTACAGCATCAGACTTTACTAGCTTAACAGTCTGTTTTTGAACTGAACCCACTAATCTTACCTTAGTATCATTTATGACTTGCCGAATCGCGAAACAACAAAACTAAAACCTTCCTTTTACTTATTCTGTCAGATCAAGGTCACATATTGATGTCCGGCTGATGATCAACTGCACGAGACATACAATTTAGGTATATACTCACTTGAACAAAGATTTTCCTCAACGGAAGATTCATAGCCTGGGAGACATTCACAAACATTATCCTGCAGAATATGCCACTGGCCGTTGGCTTTGCAGAAGGATGGCTTCAGGCCTTGAGATTGATTTGAGGACTCGAACTGATTAACCTCCGATTGACTGGCAATTGTCGGCTCTGCACCGACCACGCAGTGACCTTGAACTTCACGGACTTCCGCGTCGTGACCCGCCGGAGTCTCTGGCAGAATCATAAATCTGACCTGCATGTAAAAAATAACTTTAAATTAAAAATAATAATTAAATAAGTAATGAATATTAAAAAATTTATAAAATTAAATAGGAAAAAGCGGATTTCTTATTACATACATTTTAATTATGTTATGGAGTGGTAATTTCGAATTTAATAATTAAATCCATTAATTATGTTTTCCTAATAAAATATATCTCAAAATTATTAATGCACATTTATGTTGGAATTAAATTTTGCTACAACAGTTGTAAACAATGCGAGTTATTTTATCGTTGAATGACTTTTTTTCACGGTGTGGATAAAAGGTGACCGAAAATGAGATTTCGTGGCGAGTGGTTCATCCCGAGGGAAATTTTGGCGATTTGATTAGTCTGCATAACTAATGAACGATCTATTCGTTCGATCATTTTTGTTTTTTGCTTCACTATTGCGTGTTGAGGGGACTAATAGTATGTCATAGTTGGAAACTTTTGTCAACAATTCGGAATTAGATATTCTGATAAAATTAGTTGGGCTTTTGCTTTAAGCAAAGCTATGCCAGAAATAGCTCCACTCAAGGAATATAAATGTTCAACTTGAAGACTTGTTTAAATGGGCTTAAGTGATTAGTTAACCGTCTTCTCCCCTGTTTAGATAGACAGATACAAGCTAATCTGATATTCCAAGTTACCTATTTATGGTAATTACCTATTTATAAACATTTCTGAAAGTTGCACACCAATTTATCGCTTGCACTTGAGGTAATAAAGATAGCTTCTTTCTACTAAGCGATGAGAGTATGAATGAGAATAGTTTTTTCCATAGCAAGTAAATGATTTTTTGTAGCAAAATCGATTTCATATCACACCAATTACTCGTTAGCGTTTGGGCTCTGTAGTAGATTCTGCTCGTCTGGTAATACAATTCAAGAACCTTGAAACAGAAGGAGAGTTGCTGGCAATAAAGTTGGAAATTGAATCAAAAGTAGAAGAAGAAAAAGTTGGAAAAAAATTATCTTTACTTAGATTATGGGCGTTTGCTTAATCTCCTAACCGTAAAAGGAAATACATGGACCCACCAGAAATTGAAAAGAAAGGTTTTAGAAAAGCAGTTACTTGAATCATCTTGGCCATCATCCAGTTTCACAATTTATCATCTAATTTGAGTTTCATTGCACAAATATCTGCGAAGCTACGTTTTTCTGCACTATTTTGGTCAATAACGATGTCGCTATAGGTAATTTAATTAAATTTGGCTTTAAATAATGCTCAGGCAAAAATGTAACTTTCCTCTATAAGAAAGTTTTTAGTAAATACTAAATGAATGAAAATTAAGAGAAGTAAGATAATGAACAATTTTAAAGTGAAACAAATGACGTTAAAACCCTCTTGACACTCGTTTTTAGGCGTAAATTAAAAGAAATGATTCTTCAGAAGAAATTTTACAGTTGAAACTAACTCCCCCCCTCTATCTCACCTTCTTGGTATCAAAATTTTTTTACTGATTTTTTTTCATATTTGTTGAGCATTTAACTTACTTAGTTCTTGTTTCAGCTACATTAAAAAACTTAACCAATGTATTTGGAAATGGGGTAAAAAATTTCTCTCCTGTTTAAAACTCTATTGTCAAATTAATATCTAATTTTTTAGTTGAATTATGTCAATTCAAGTGATCAATACAGTAAATAATATAAACAAAAAAAAGCGGAAGTACCTTTGAGATCAATTTCAAATTTAAAACTTCTCAAAGATGCGAGAATATATATATCGACTACTAAAAAGGCACATTTTGCTCACTACATATAAATAATTCCACCAAATACTTACTATCAAACTCCGCAGTTAAATCGCCAACTTTCTGGTAGGTTTCTCATTATCGATGTCTTCTTTAACTGCAAACCGACTCAATTGCCGAAATTCTACCCAACGGAACTCAAAATGTGAAAAATTCCATCCACCCCCGCCCCGCCTCCGAAACATTTAGTGCCTACTGATTTAAGCGCACCCTTTCTGAGGATGAAATCGGAAAGAAATGGAGAATAAACTCGAGGATGAGATTAAAATACGCATCACTGCGGAAGTGAGAAAATGGGGGGGAAGAATTAATGGATTTTCTGGTTAATTGGAAACTCTACCTTCAAGCTTTCACTCCTTGCTACAACTACAATTTGCCAACATGACACTCAACACACGTCTCTCACCTTGCATAGTTGGCTTATTAAGATCCTATCGCATTCAATAAATTTGCATGTTTACTCAGAGAGAGAGAGAGAGAGAGGGAGGTGAGTACTAACATGGCTTACTAATAGGGTCCGTGGATGAGTGGAAGATTCGAAGAATTTATTTTAAAGTAAAAAAAACATATGATACGTTCAATTAAAAATGCTCCATTCGTTCTAAAGTAAATGTCCTAGAGAGTTGAACACGAGTAAAGAACTATGAGAGGGAAATTTAGTATTTGAATGAGCTCATTTCTACGATATATTTACCACCAATCAATACTTTTGATCGTTCAAATTAATCTCGTTAAGTGTGCACAAAATGGCCCAATAGGTGGAAATATGACACTGTGGAGCAAATATTAGTGTAAAACAGTGGTATTATTAATGCCTCTTATATTAGACTCGGATCAATAACATTTGATATGAACACATTTCTTAATGAAAAGCAAAATGCAAAAAATATTGACGTTGACTTATCTTCATCAATAAGATTTTTGTAAGAGTTGATTCCACAATGTACCAAGAGCTGGTCCTTTATGAATAGATTCTCAAGCTTTTGTGAATTTGATTAATGCGATCTATTTAAATTGAATTATGGCCAACTCGAGGATGATAAGGGGGCATACTTATTTCTGAATGCTTCTTCAACTTTGCATCCTATTTGAAATGCTCCTAAGCCATTTTGGCAGGCTGTAACTCGTAAATAATTTTTCCATCGTGTTTGCCAATTACAGCTTATGTGTACCTTTGAGCTCATTTGTCCAATTTTTTTCAGTGATTTATATGGTTTTCGATAAGTGGCCTGAAGGTAATGTGCATGTATAATTAAAATTCAAAGTGTTTGCTTATCAATATTTGTGAAGGCATTGAGAATCATACTCTGAATAAATATTTAAAATAACAGGACTGTTGAAAAAATTATAAAATCGGTATGGGACTTTGTTTAGAGACCCATTGGCATTTTTAAGTGATCAATTTATATTGTTTGGCTGTTTTAATGGGAGAAGTTGAAAATTCCTACTTTTACACCAGAATCTGTTGAGACGGTTTCTTAATCACTTCAAAAAAGGTATGTTTTATGGGATAATTTCGACTAAGTACTTGAATCGCTTTATGAAAGAGACCTTTAACTACCATAATCTATAATATAATCATAAATTCCCAAATTTCTGCAAAAATATGAAGAAAATTTGAATAGTTGCAGTCTTTGACAGTCATTGTAGTCGTTGCTGCTGTTCGAAATCTGGCGTTATGCCAACTACGCTCTAGAACACGCGTTAATCGGATCAAATTATGGGTCAGAAGAGAGTTAATTAGTGAGACAACCAGTCGCTTAGGCTTCTCTCACAAGAAGCAAGTGACTAAGAGAAGAACACTGGTTGCATTAGTCTCCAAGCTGATGTAAGATAATCAGCATTCAAGGGATCTTTATTGTCCTAAATATGAACAATCGACTAGTGTGAATAGAAGTTCAAGCTTTCAAAGAGACTATTTGAAGTTCAATATTAGATGACCTTTTATAATTATGATTTGAATAAAGCGAAGTATAATCGCACCCCACTTCTAGCCACTTCTCTACCACAGTTGAACCGTTCAATTTCGCCTTTAACCGAAAAGGGATTAGTAGAAAATTTCAAATCATTTGACTATTTTCAACTTTAATTCCGAAAAAAATTTGAGAATTATGGGGG